TAAATGGATGGAATTGGAGAAACCTCATTCTGAGTGGGAGGTTAGCCTGCCCAAAGACCAAAATCGTATGTTCTCCCTCTTATGTGACATTAGATCAAGGGCAAAACCACCTTGTATGCACATATGAATAATAAAAGAAAAATGAAAAAAAAAAAGAAAATGTGGTATCTATACAACAATGGAATTTTATGCGGCCATGAAGAAGAACGAAATGTTATCAATCGCTGGTAATGGATGGAATTGGACGAACATCATTCTGACGTGAGGTTAGCCTGGCCCCAAAGACCAAAAACGTATGTTCTCCCTCTTATGTGGACATTAGTCAAGGGCAAACACACAACTGGGATTGGACTATGAGCACATGAATAAAAGCGAGAGCACACAAGGGAGGGGTGAGGATACGGTAAAGACACCTAAAAATTAGCTAGCATTGTTGCCCTTAACGCGAGAAACTAAAGCAGATACCTTAAAGCAACTGAAGGCCAATAGGAAAAGGGGAACAGGTACTAGAGAAAAAGGTGAGATCAAAAAGAATTAACCTAGAAGGTAACACCCACGCACGCACAGGAAATCATGTGAGTCAATGCCCTGTATAGCTATCCTTATCTCAACCAGCAAAAACCCTTGTTCCTTCCTATTATTGCTTATACTCTCTCTACAACAAAATTAGAAATAGGGCAAATAGTTTCTGCCTGGGTATTGAGGGGGAGCGGGAGGGGGCGGAGTGGGTGGTAAGGGAGGGGGTGGGGGCAGGGGGGAGAAATGACCCAAGCCTTGTATGCACATATGTATAATAAAAGAAAAATGAAAAAAAAAAAAAAGGTGGTTTTGGGGGAAGAGCTGCTAGGCAGACTTTAAGCAAGAGGGCAAGGTTGGATTTGCTGCTAGAAGGTGGAGCAGAGGGTAGAAGCAAGAGATGCTGGTGACCGGGATCAAAGCAGAGGCAGTGGGATGGAAAGAAGGGAGCAGGTTTGAGAAACTCATGGAGTGAAATGGATAGGTGTGCAGAGTAAGGAGGAGCAGGCGATGGCTGCTGTAGCTGGCTCCTTCTGGTCTGTCCATGTCAGCTCCATAGAGGTGATTCTTCTAAATGTCCCCTCCTCCCTAAGGGAGTTTCGGAGGAAAAGCCAAATCTCTCTGCCTCCAGGGGGCAGTGTTGCAAAGTCTTCAGGGAACTGGGCCCTTTCTCCAAACTCTGCCCTGACGGATGCTCCCACTCCCAGCCCCTCCTACCTCTTGCCCCCACCCACTTCCCCTCCTGGCTTTGCTGCACAGTCCCATCAATGTCCTTTTCCCAAGGACAGAAATTATTTATAACTGTAACCCCACTTGACACTTTACAAAGCAGTAGTTACATGCATTAGCTCACATGGTTCTTCCAAAAGACAGGCAGAGAGGAATGAGACCCTTTCCCAACCCTCTCCCCACTTCATAAGGAAACAGAGGACCAGGCAGAGGTGGGACCTGACCAAAGTCAGCATATGGGTGGCACATCCAGAGCTAGGGACACCAACAGCCAGAGCCCCATGAGAGGGCACAGCCTCACAGCACCTGCAGACCTAGGGCTGTTAGTGGCAACCACCATCCTCCTGCTAAACCCCCATTTTGCCCTTGAGCGCCCTCCCTTTTCAGGGGGCAATTGCCAGTGGTTTATTTCTGTGGGGTTGTCAGTCAGAGTGGACTGACCTGACACACACCTGCTATGATTTACTTCCTCTTCATCCTCTGCTTCCAAAATTACAAGAGTCATCATCATCACCATCGTTGCCATATTAATAATGACTTGTGTCTGCTCAGCTCTCAGAACTTAGCAGGCACTAATCCATCCATCAGCTCACCCAAGCCCTGACAGCTCTGGGGAGTCATTTCACAGTCTAAGGTATGGAGACTCAGAGAGGACAAGTGACCAGCCCCTAGTCACCCAGCAAGGTCTCAGAGGAATTTTGTCTCCCTGGAGAGAAGCTGCGCACTTACTAAGGAGAAAACAGCGAGATGAGAGGTTCCACATGGTGCTGCCAGGAAGTTTCTTGATTTGCTATTTCACAGAGGAGAACACTGAGCCTCACAGAGCTTCTTACTGGGTCAGGATTGAACTGCATGGCGCCTAAGCTCCTGCTCTCTGGAGAGTGGCACAGGGCTGCCACTTCCAGGGAAGGACTCAAAGTTTGTAACACAGCATGGCAGCCGTGGAACTTCTGGGGCAAAAGAACTTGGAATGGGGGTGTGTTGGAGGTAGGAGGAGCCTCTAGGCCGTTAAGCTGCTGTAGAGAGCACTGGGTGGGCTGTACAGGCTGGTTGGGCTAGAAGAGCTCACATGCTTGGGAAATGAGCTGTGTGGGAATGGAGAGCCAGGACAACCTGACACTTGGTAGGATGGGGCCTGTTTCTTCTCCACCAGCCAGCGAAACCAAAGCCCAGGGAAAAGTAGACTCTGATTCCCCACACTCATCACACTCTTCTGGCCTCAGTCTTCCAATCCGGAGAAGGGGACTGCTGAATTCAATGAGCTCATATTCCTTCCCACATAGACTTGGGTATCATGCATCTATACCCTGCCATCCTTGGCTCACATCCCAGACCCTGCAGTAGGTAATACTGGATGCATAATTCTGGGTTAGTCACCTCTTTAGTGCAGTGTCCTCATGGGTGAACTAAGCATGACGTTGCCTGTCTTGGGGGGAGCTAATGAGTCAGACATGAGTGGTTCTGCACAATAAGGGTTCTGAGCCTAGGCAGCATCTGGGGCTGGGGATGCCAGGCTCTAACAGAAACCCTCACTTGCTGCCAGGCTGCCCGGGGTTCATTTATAGATATCCGTCCCAGGATGGTAGACAAAGGGAAGTGCGAGCAGAGGTGCTGAGGTGGCAGTTTGGGTCCTTTTCTGGGAAGGAGCCTCTGGCCACTCTTCCCCTTCTTGTCCCAGCCCCCTCATCTCAGCAATCTCACAGCAACCATCAGGACTGTCCTGATACCATGATCTCCTTTTAACCAATGGGAAGACTAAGACCCAAAGAGGACAGAGGATTTGCCCAAAGTCCCACAGCAGGGTTGTAACAAAGCTGGAACCAGAACTGAGCTCTGTCATCTGGAGCCCAGATCCTCCCTTTGCACCACATAAATGAGTCTCCTACTTTGCCTGTTTTACTGCAAGGCCTGTCTGTAAGTGAGTTGCCGTAGAGAAGGAAAGGCTTGGGTTCTGCCAACAGTTTTACAACAACATCAGGTTTGGCATGAGACACAGGCTAGTGAATATCATTGGGATGTGGAAGCTACAGTTTTGCAAGTCAATGCCAGGCTTTGCCAACAGCATGAGACTCTAAAAAAGGCATCAAGTTTTGCCAACAGTGAGAATCCACCTAGAGTGTTGGAGTCCACACACATCGTGAGGCCAGGCAAAATGCACAGGGCACAGTAAATACCACGTGCTGGTAAGTGGTTAAGCCAGGGTGCAAACCAGTGTGATAAGACCTCAAGCCTAGGCCACCCATCACAGTGGAGCCTGTCTGAGGGCCTGTTAGCCTGTCTGAGAAGCTCCTGGGTACCAGACCCTTGTTCCATCTCCACAGCTGAGTTCAGGAATATTCTGGACCCAGTAAACACCCAGACCATTCCATGTGTAGAGCTTCTTCAGCCTCTGAGGCCTAGACAGAGCAACAGAGCATCCAGAAGTCTAAAGGAACCTTGCCTCTTGCAGCAATGTGCAGGCAATTTGGAGTCTGGAAGGCTCCACCTCTGCCAATTTCTGTGAAGACTCACAGCGCTGACTTTAGACTGAAGAACTTACAGTGATTGAACTAATTTGATTTTTCAAGCAGTATCAGGGGTTGTGCTTTCTATCAATCCAAGCCAGCTACTGACTTCCTCAGTGGTCATGTGCTCACATTTCTAGTCTTTCAAAGACTTTCATTCATACAACATTAGGCTTTCTACTGAGTGCCTAAGTGCTATATATCTCTAGGATTATTTCAAATACCCCATACTTCCTTTCTAGCACACTCCTACAGCCACTTGGAGCCAAGTGAGGTCCTAGAAAGCTAGACTCCAAACCTATCTACATCCCTATTCTATGCAAAGATCTTCCTGAGGTGAGGTCAGGTTCACTTCTGTATCTTGGAGTTGGGGAAACCCAGAATCTTTCTCTGAGAAGACAACCTGGGTAGAAGAGAAAGTTGGTTCTACCTTCAGAGGTCGTACGCATGATCCCACCACCAAGACCTCTGGCAAGTGACTGAGACTCAGTGCTGATCTCGAAAATGGGGGAATTCTTACCCCCTGGGTTGATGGGCCCCAGGGAGCCTCATGTGGATGGGGAAATGCTATGCATTTTGGAGAGCAGAATGGGGTTATTTTCTCTTTTGTCTTTCTCAGAGCCCCACCTCTGCCACTCCCCTCTCCTAGGTGCCTAGCCTCTAGAGATGGGCCTCAGGGCTTCCCTTGAGCCACACCCCCAACCCTTTCACTTTTTAGTTTGTTTTTCAGATAAGATCTGGTGTTTTCCTGGGCTGGGCTGGCCTTGGACCACGAGTCTGATCCTCCTACTTCTACCTCCTGAGTAGGTGAGGTCTCTCTGGGAGTCATGGAGGACTAAGAGAACGAGGGCTGGGTAGAAGAAAGGGCTCAGATGAAGGTTAGGAGTACAGGAAGGAGACTGAAAATTCTGGAATGTTTGTTCTCTGAATGGCCCTAGGGCTTGTGGACAGTCATCACCCTCTACCTTTCTGCTGCTATAGAGTAAGGGGAAACAGTAAGAGACTGAGAAGAAACATGCAGCTTAAGCCATGGAGAGGCTGGGATACAGCCTCTCCCAGTAGGGGGCTGAACCTAAACAAGCCCAGCCTCCTACAGATTCTAGCCCTGGCTGTCCCAGCCAGAAATCTAAGGAATTCAGAGAAAGTCACAGACAGATAGAGCAAGTCCCAAGGCAGAGTAGGGGGACCAGGGAAGAGAGAAAAATGAAGGAACAAGCGAACCAGGGAGACAGGTCCTTGCAGAGGGGATAGTTCAAACAGGGCTCCCTAACTCTGCCTAGATTGGAGGTTGCTGTCCAGTGTGACTGAAGCAACATCACCCAGTGCATGGAGTTCCTGTGTTGGTGTGTCCCTGCTGTTACTCCCAGAGCTATCTCCAGGAGCCCTGGTCAGACTCACTTCCTCTCTGCTGAGCAACAGGTCCTGAGACTGAACTAGGAGCTTGAACTCACTGCACCCAACAGACATGGGACCCAGGATAGGTAAGTCCAGGAGAAGGAAGGGGCTCTGTTCCCAGTGAGAAGGTGAAGCTGTAGAGCCACAGTGGTATGTTGGGGTGCCAGGAGTGGGCACAGCTCTGTGCAGAGCCAGGCACTTTGTGGTGGTAGCAGCGGCAAGTCCAGTGAAGGTGCTCCGGATGAATGAGGGAATGACGTAGGGAGCAGGAAGGCCGCTGTTTACTCAGCTGGAGGCAGGGAGCCCAGCCAAACTGCCCTGGTAAGACAGAGAACAGAGGACAGCAAAAGGCAGCCCCAACCTCATCCAGCTGTCCCCAGACTGAAGGAGGCAAAGTAGAGACAGACAAGGCAGAAAACCACAGAGAGAGGAGGGTGGTCAGAGAGACAGAGCATGCCCAGGGGTGCAGACAGACAGACAGAGACAGGGACCAACAGGTGTTGACAGGAACTGCAGGTAAAGAGAGGAGGACAGCCATGGAGAGAGGGTCACAGCAGAGACCCAGTGAAATAAAAAAGCAGGAGGCAGCAAGAACAAGAAAAAGAGAACCCAGAACACACAGGGACGTTGTTGGAGGGGACAGGTGGACAGAGTGCAGACAGAGATTCACACAGTGATTCTGCAAGATCCACGCAGAAGAGATGGTTCAGAGAGGGACCTATAGAGACCTACTTGGGCTGGTGGTGGGGTGGGGAGGAGGCTGGAGGGGAAAAGTCTGGAAGCCTCTGAAGCCAAGCTTGGAGTTTGACAAGGAAAGCACCCAGGGGCAAGGGCAGTGATTTAGGGAGTAGCCACCAGGGCTGACATAGCAAGGGCTGGAAAAAACAAAGCATGTTGAGACAGGGAGCCCGAGGCTGGACGCCTCACAGCAATCCTCTCTGGCCTCCCACTGTAGTCACCTCTCAGCCACTCAGGGGAGGTGCCCCTTGTCCTAGGTGCCAGCTGAGGTACAGCTACAGCCTGGGGACCTCGGCATGGCAGGAATGGATGGGGTGGATGCTTCCTGTCAAGGGGACTCACAGGAGAGAAGAGAATGAGGTCATATTTGGATGTTGGGTTTTTGTTGTTGCTGTTGTTGCTTGACTGGTTGGCTGGTTGATTTTTCTGAGATATGGTCTCAAACTCTTGATCCTCCTTCCCTTGTCTCCTGAGTGCTGGGATCACAGGCATGGACTATCATGCCTGGCATAGGGGGACTTAGTTTGAGGGGATGGACAAACCAAATTCCCAGTCAGTCTTGGCTCAGTATGGATGGGAGGGTTGGAGATTCTGTGATGTGGGAAAACCAGAGACTTCTGTTGTTCTACACCTGTTTCCTATCCCCCACAACCCCCATGGTTGTTTTTCTGGTCCCTAAAAGGCTTGGCTCTGCAATATTCTCTAGCTGGCCCCTGACACACATATAGCAGGAAGTTGACCCTACTGTCTGACTACTGGGTGACCAGAAGCCACCTCTAGCTATGCTTCTTGAGCCCTGGGCTGTGACCAGGTTCAGTGCAGCCTGAAGGATGAGGGATGAGGAAATGCAGGTGGGGCAGGAGACAGAGCCCAGAGCCTGGGAAGAGTCCTGGGCCCAATCATCAGACAAAGAGGGGCCAGCTGTGCCAGCCAGAGGCTGACCCACAGTGCCCTGAGGGTCATCTGTGGCTCCCACAGAGTCTGGCTAACAAGTGGCCATGTGTCCTTAGGCAGGGAGGGGTTGGAGAAAATAATCTCCCTCTGTTGTTCCTACAATGTGATTCAAAGAATCCACTTTCCACCTCTGTACCCTCTGTACCTTTCCTTTCAGAAAGGCCCCTGCTCATGTTCTTTTCTGGTGAAATTTACCATTTCACACTCCAAATGCCAACTCTTCCAGGAAGCCTTCTTGGTGGACTCTCAGTTAGGGGTAACCTCTGCCAGCCAGCTCCCCCAAGCTACCTGACCACTCTTTAAGTCCATCCTTCCTTACTTCCAGGATTGCAGCTGTTGCTCTCTGCAGCCTTCTGTGCTCCAGTGTATGGGTGTGGCAAAGGAAAACACCAGCAGCCTTGCCCTCAAACCCCAGCTCTGCATCACTGACTTTATGAGAACTCAGTGAAATGGTCTCACCTTTTTAATAAGGGAGGAAACAGATGCTCAGAGAGAGCAAATGACTTCCCCAAGGTCACCCCTGGAAGAAAGCAGCAAAGTTGGGGCCAGAACACAGGTTGGCCAATACTGTTTCCTTTGTGTACTTGCCCTTGGGACATCTCCGCCTTCCACAGACTCCACATTGGTGGGCTTTCACCCGTCTTGGGCATTTTGCCATTGGTTCTAGACAATGCAAGCTGTTCTTTAGGTACAAGTGGCTGGGGACCAGCAAGCTAGGGGGAGTAACTTCCTCCTAGGCTGGACTGGACCTTGCCTGCTGGACCAGATTTCAAGCAACCAAGAACCAGATGGTGAGCTGTCCTTAACCTCATCTTAGGCTACCACACATTCAATATCCGGTCTGTTCCTATCCCTTCCTGGGACTCAGTCCCTCCATCTGCATAGAAGTGAAGAGAGTAGCCAAGGTAGTAAGTCACTTGGACTCTTTTTGTGCTGATAAGTTCCATCTCTGGAGGGCGTGGAGGAGCAGAGGCCTGTCTGAACAGACAGGGCCAGGCCTTCCTATCAGTACTGGGGGCTTGCTTACCTGGGGATAGCACTGCTGCCCTCACAGGCTGCAGCCCATAGTCTAAGCCCTACTGCCTGAAATGATGAGGATCGATGTAACCTCTGGGAACTCCCTGGAGAAGGGCCTGATTTCATCCATTCCTGGGGCCCTGAACAGAGATGGAATAGTGGGAAGATTTAGTGCATAAACTGTCCTCCTGCCCTTCTATACCCTTGCCCTGTGACTATTCTCCCACCCTCCCTCTAGCCTTCCTTGAAGGCTAAGACAGGCTTGGTACTGATACAGGAGACCCAGGTTGAAATCAGGCAGGGTCCCTCCCTCCAGGACCTTCCAGAGGACCAGGGAGTCACAAACACAATTATGTGGATAAAAAAGCCAAAGCTTGGAAGAGTTGGCCAACAGAGAGGAAGGAATGGTCTGCCCTAGCTGGGGGCAGGTAGGATTCCAGGAAAGAGGCATCAACAGCACCTCCACAGGATGTATATTCAGGAGGGCAAAGAGCATTGCAAATGCTTAGAAAAGTATCTAGATGTGGCACATTTATAGGGACAGTGAGCTACCCGGTATAGTCAGATTAAGGGAGGTCACTGGATGATATCTCAGAAAATGAAGCCAGAAGCTCTGACAGGGCCCATCCAAAAGAGCTTTTATGCCAAACTATGTGTATGAATTTTGTCTTAGAGGCAACAGGGAGCCATAGAAGGTATGTGAGAAGGACAGTGGCCATGTTTCCGTGGTCCAGAGAATCTGTATCCTGGGAACCCTCATCAACCCCTTTCATGTGTGCAGCACTTTTATGAGTACAAAGCAATCTTATGTCCATTTTACAAATGGAGACCAAGCCACCTGCCCCAGGCCCTGCAGCTCCTCAGCAGCAGAATCAGGTGTACACTCAAGCCCCTGATGGAATTGGGCTTTCACTGGACCCCCTAGCCCTCTTTCATGAAAGTCATACCACAGGCTCCTATGTTCCCAGCCATGCCTGGTAGACATGGGCCTGATGGGCCGAGGCCTTCTCTGGCCTCTGGCACCCAAATAGCTCTAAGATGGTCTTTTGGATGACCTTGTGTGTGGAAGCTGAACCACTTCAAGGACTGAATGTCTTTGGGTAAATGGGCCCTTTGCAGAATCAATTTAAGCACAGAGAATGGTGAGCTAGAGCCACATGGAGTAGAGACAGTATGGCCTTAGGCCACCAGCTACTCATCTCTGAGACTCAGCTCCTTGTTTAGGCCTGAGACTGGCCCGGTTCCCTGTGAGCTTCCTTTCCCCACCAGGCCCTAGCGCCTATTTTTAAGGTCATCATGGGTCTAGATGGGACAGCCAGGGCCAGAACCAGGAACAGAAAGTCCCAGCACAGGGTCCCTGACCTAGCTCGGAAACCACCAAAGAGTAAGTGCCTGGCCCCCTCCCCCATCCTGCTGGATCTCCCTCAAGAAGCAACAGCTGGACTTGAGCGGGCTGTTTGTCTCCCGGACAGACCACCCAAGGGTCCTGCCAGAGGAATTTCCCCAAAATGGCAGCCAAGCCCAACACTCACCCAGAGACCCCTCCCCTTCTGGCCTTTGACCCTTTCCCCTCCACAATGCTGGGTCTGGTCGTGCTGGGAACTGGAGCCCTCATCACACTACCCTAACCCCCCACCCCATCCCACCATGGGAGCCCCCACCTCTAGCCTGTGCTCCAGCCTTCTCTCTTCCCTCGTTCAGTTTAGCTCAGCTCATCAACCACACTCTTCAGCTAGGCTGGGGCTGAAGGATGAGAAGTGGGTTGCTGGGAGGACAGACAGTCTGAGCTGAGGATACAGCGTGTGCAAAAACTTAGGGGTAGGAAAGAACACGATGAATTTGGGGAACGGCAAGGATCTATTGGGGCGAGTAGATGAGGTATGATAGGCTCTGAGTGACCTTGATCTTGAGACTAGGATCCCTTGTGCAGCAAAGAGGGCAGGCAGAAGGGAGGGAGCCGGCCGTTGCTGAGGATTTCAGAAGACCAGACACAGGGCATTTCTCTTCCTTCCTATCAAAATGACTGTGAGCTGCGCGCCATTCTCTCACAGAGGACACTAAGGCTTACAGAGACTAAACGGGCTGCCTGAGCTCACCCAGCTACGATGTGGCAAAAACAAATATTTGAATCCAAAGTCTTCTGCCCTGAGGGTTTTAGGAGGGATCAAACATGATCCATGAGGACTGATGGACAGGACAGTCTCTGCCCTGGAGGATTTTACTTATTAATCAATCGGACAGATAAGAGAAGGGCATAAAGTGTCAAGAGAGAGGCGCCAACTGCAGGCTAGAGAGAGGCCAAGAACTGTCTGAGAGGGGCAGCTTATGGAGGGAGAGAGGCTGACCTGGTGCAGGAGCTGGGCAGGTGACTGCAGAT